AAAAACGCCATTTTTTGAGGCGTTTTTGGGTGAAAACCTGCTATTTTCTGACAAAATGGCAAGCTTTCACCCCAAAACCTTCTCAAAAAACAGCATCCAAATGCGCCCTAATGCTCTTGTGATCAAATTTTGATAAAGCTTTTCTTTGAGCTGTTAAATTGAGGGGGTAACACTGTTGTGATCACAATTTGATAAAGTTTTTCTCGGGGTTGTTGGACGTAATCTTCGTGAAATTTGTGTACAAAATTTATATTCATATCATCCAAATCTAATGTTTTATTTTACAGAAGACCAGATGTCGCGATTAAGAAATAGAAAAGACCAGCTTTTTCCTCGCATGTAATTTATCATTGACAATACTTTAGATATCAAAGAACCACCAAACCAGCACAAGCTAATAACAAACCAATTCAAGAGCCAATACAGATCAAAGTTTCAGTTTTGCTGCAAAAATTATGAACACAAACCATGATTTCAGCATCACATGCAAAAAATATGAAAATTTACTTAATTTTTGACAAGAGATAAAATCTCACAGGTATCAGGTATGTATAAGGTATAACCATCTATAGCTACTGAAAGCACTCCAGCTCGGTTTAGCTGGTAAATACGACATTCACAATTTCTGGAAACCTCTCCTTAATGGCTGCTCTGATTCCTGACCCAATCGAGTCGGGCCCCACATATCTGACGTGGCAATCCCCGCCCTCTATAGAAACCACGTCAACACTTCCGCCATAGTTTTTAATGGCAGGTCTCAGTATGTCCAAATGCCCATTCACAGCCTAAAATCATAGGGCGTCTATAATCAGTAAACCACCAAAAACAACTTGATCTTTAAGAGAAGATGAAGTGCTGGTGTGCTCACCTCAACTGTAGTGAGTGCATTTTGTGGGTCATCAGAAACTTGGCGGATATCTTTGATTGCTTCCCCGAATTTTTCCTTCAACACTTTCTCGATTCCCATTTTCATGGTTGTGGTTGAACTGGGACAGCTTCCACATGCTCCTGTTGATCAAAGCTTCAGTGCCAATCAAATGAAGAAAACTAAGCCAAGAGCAGATCGTACTTTTTCAGCGGATTCCATAGAGGGCCCTCTATAGAATATAATATCTAGAAGGAGATTGCTTCTTATGAAACGTCCAGCACAGATTTTAAAGTTGATGATTGTAATAATACAATAGTCTAATTGCATGACATAGCGATCGTGATCACATTGATCCAATACTCTAATTATGCTAAAATATTATACAACGATTGCACTGTTTTAGAATTTATAGCGGGAAGCGTGTTACGATCTCCTTCCTCCCTAAATGATTTTATACATAGGGATCTCTATAGGATGTTTTCCCGAATAATTGAGTTCCAAATCATGATTTGAAAAGTTTGTTTCTTTAATGTTCCCTTATGGTTCTACCCAACCTTGTATTTCCGTATACCTTATTTGTTCCTTAGCAAGCTTAGTAAAAAGACCATTTACATATAAGATAAGATAAGATAACAAAAGTGCTATTTACATATAAGATCTGACTTTACTGCCAAGTCATATGGGGCCAGCATACTAATACTAATAGCACTGAATAATTTAAATTCTAACAAGCTTTTACCGTCATAAGAGAGTATTTCAAATGACAATGCAGGTCCTTTGTAGGACTCTGGCCTCATTTTGGACAGTATGATTATTGAGCAATTATCTCATACCGGGATTGTCTCCAACAAATCTAAATATTTGCATGTGACTTTATTGAATCAAAAGGAAATTGACAATTAAAAAACAGTGTACGTCAGTGATCAGCAATGTATCTGAACATCAGTAGGTCTTCTAGATAATTTAGCATTACACAAAAAGGTAGATCCTATATGATTTACTGGAAGCATCTGAAACTGTTACATATAGATGAAGCTTACATGTAGGCTCCAAATTGTACCCTGTACTCTCTATCACCAACAGGGACAAAGAAAATGGTCCTATCAATTCAACTAAAAAACCCCAGCGATCAACTCGTATACTTTTGTCTATAAAGAATTCCCTTTGGAATTCCTGTAAAAGCAGCAGCCTTGATTCTGACTTTCACCAAGGCTACAGTTAACTACATTTTTCAAATTCTTTAGAGTAAGATCCTTTAGGTTCATAATTTTCATTCATTTCCTCATATCAATATCATAAATGCGAAGCAGCTTTAAGGCTCAATTTTCCTTTTAAGAAATCGCACTTACTATTTGATGTTGCCAGAACCATATACTCTCAAAAAACAATTTATTATCAGATATAATCTTCATTAGAACTAATTTGTCCCAATTCTTCTTGGAAACATCTTGAGAATTATGATGAATGAATGCCTACGCTACAAGGACACTCCATCTAGTCTCCTGTATCCGTGTCCGACACTTCCAGTAT